CACTGTAACCTGGAAATAACTGGGGGAAAGTCTTAAGAGGGCTTGGTGGTATATGCCTATAATATTAGTATGTGGGAGATCGATTTTAAGGCTAGTCTCAGTTACATAGGGAGATACAGGTCAGTCTTGGCTACATATGATCCTGTCTCTGCCAAATTAAAACTCCTTAGAAGAATGCAGAGATTTTCAGGGTTTGTGTCAGAAAGTCCTTACACAAAACACTTTCAGACAAATAACACTAAACACACCCAAAGATTGAGAGACCTCTACCTACAAAGTAACTGTAATGTTTTATTGCTCAGCTTCCTTTGACAGGTCTCCTCCATACATCTCATCCTAATTTTAGATCCTGCTTTCCTTTGTGATGCTGGTCCACGTATTTCTTAAAGCGTTTTCTATTTGAGGCCAGCCTACCCATTTCCTTCTCCTAAAATCTACTGATCCACACAGTCCACTCCTCCTTTCAACCTTTCTCTAAACCACCAACTAAAGAAAATATACCTGGGCGATCAAGATCATGATGGGGAAACCCACAGAGACAGTTAATCCCAACTCATGGGAGCTCATGAACTCTGGACCAACAGTTGGGGAACCTGCATGGGACTGAACTAGGCCCTCTGCATATGGGCAACAGTTGTGTAGCTTGGTCTGTTTGAGGGAATCCTGGCAGTGGGACCAGGATCTGTCTCTAGTGTATGAGCTAGCTTTTTAGAACCCTTTCCCTATGGTAGGATGCCTTGCTCAGCCTTGCTACAGAGGGGAAAGGATTGTACCTGTCTCAAGTGAATGTTCCAGGCTTTGTTGACTCCCCATGGGAGGCCTTTCCCTTTCTGAGGAGTGGGTTGGAGTGCTAGATGCAGCTGTCAAAGTGAATGCAAGGCATACTTGATGGGGGAGGTCCTGTGTATATGTCAATAAAGCACTGTTGGCCAATAGGGAACCAAGATAGGTGGGACTAGGAGTCCAGGAGGACTCTGGGTAGGAGAAACACAGGGAGTCACGATGTAACGCCATGGGGTAGGAAGCCTGGAAACTTCTCCGGTAAGAGACATACTTAGATTAACAATTATGGGGTAAATACTTAAGTCAGAGCTAGCCAGTAAGAAACAAGCAAGGCCAACAGCTTCATAATTAATACAGCTTCTTGTGTGTTATTTGGGGACTGCAACACAGCAGAGCCCAGGCGACTAGCGGGTGATAAACCAAAGTGGCTAGCAAGAAAAAGCCTCCCTTTACATAATGGTGATCAGGAGTGGGATGATGAATTTCCACGTAGAATGACAAAAGATTTAAGGGAATTTTAGAAACAAAAGAACAGAGAAAATCATGGGTTCTTGGTAGCAGCATTTTTCTCAGGTGTGCTCTATTTTGCTAGCGACAAGCAAAGATTCACGCGGCTTGCTTAAGGGAGTATTCCTGACTCAGCATAAAAAAACCAACAAGGTTCTTTTAAGAGGCTCTGCTAACGATTGAAAGGTGTGTACGTACAGCTGGAAGTGGCAGTGACCACATCTCTAGGCCAACAGTGCTTTATTGACATATACACAGAACTTCCCCCATCATCACATACTCAATATGGAAGACAAGAGAATCAGGCAAAGTACAGAAGCAGGGCGACTACAAAAATTAACCTGATAGACTGGATTAACTAATGTTGATAGTTCAAGATCTCACTTAAAGATGAATGTCAATATTAGCAGGGAGCTAAAAATTAAATGTGGTCTCTGTAGACCTATAAACACTGAATAGTGTCATCTAGACAAGGGCAAAAATCTTTGTTATAGTCACTATTTAAAGCCCTGTGGCTTAGGCCTGTTGTGGAGGCACACACCCTTAATCCCAGCCACTAGGGAGGCAGAGGCAAATTGATCTCTGTGAGTTTGAGGTCAGTCTGGTCTACAAAGTGAGTTCTAGAACAGCCAGGCCTGTTAAACAGAGGAAACCTTGTCTTGAAAATGTTAATAAATAAATAAAGCGTTGTAGCTTAATGTGTGTGTCGATTTCAAAAGTTTGTGTGTGCGCGCGCGTGCATGCATGTTTGCAAATATGTGTATACATTTGATGACATATATTAAAGCTATATGTATATACATAAATATGGGCACACACAGGTATGTATGCATTCATTCAATATTTCATTGCAATTTCCCTTCTGTCCTTAGATAATACATCTAAGATAAAAATGAAACTGAACTAAGATGACCAAGAAGATTCTATCTAACCTTTCACTGTCTAAAGGAGTTCCATGTCTTTGCACAGGCATAAATCTCCTCATGTTCAGTTGTTCAGGTATTGATTACAAAGGAGCATGGCTTTCTTGGGTAATATAAAGTTTCATATAATAAATACGATTTCATAAGGGCATAAGTTGGTCGATCATTCATCATTAGAAATGTCTTCTTCATATGTATATGATTTCTTGTATGCAAACAATAGTTCTAAAGGTAAAAAAAACAATTAACAAGCATATAACTTCATGAAATAACATTACATCCCATGTTAGTATTACCCCAGAATGTCACTTCTTTGCAATCAGTACTCCAAATGGCCTTCTTCCAGGAGGCCAGTATTCCAACCTCTGTCATTATAGACAGAGTTTTCAAATGAAGAATGCTATGTAAGTGGAATCACATTGCATGTACACTTTTGTGTCTGGCTTCATCTTAATGACCATCTTCATGAGTATTTTGTGCCCACCTATTGATTCACTATATATGTTTAGGTATCTGTGACACTAAATGTTGTTAGTTGGACATCATCTAGAATCACCTAGGAGACAAGCTTCTGGCATGCATGTGAGGAGTTATCTTCATAGGTTAATTAAGGGGGAAAGACCCACCTTACCTCTAGATAGAAAAATTCTCTGAGGTTGCATCCTGCATTGTATAAAGAAGAAACCTACACTTGTCTCTCTGCCTCCTCATTGTGAATGCAATTCAACCAGCTGTATAAAGCTTCTGTTGTCATGACAGTCTGTACCCTCAAATGACCAGCTACAAGAAATCCCTGTCGACCATGTATGGGGCACACACCTTTAGTCCTAGCACTAAGGAGCTGAGGCAAGCAGATCTCTGGGAGTTCAAGACCAACATAGTCTAAGTAAACAGTTCCAGGATAGTCAGGGCTTTATAGAGAGACCCTGACTTAAAAAAAATAAAGAGAAAAAAAGAAATCCTTCTCATTAAGTTGCTTCTGTCCTATATTTTGTCACAGTAACGAGACAAGTAACTACAGCAACCCCAGACAATAGGAAGCAGTCTAGTAAAAACAATGCCCACATTCCCAAAAGATGGGTTATAGGCCGGGTGTTGGTGACACATGCCTTTAATCCCAGCACTTGGGAGGCAGTGGCAGGTGAATCTCTGTGAGTTCGAGGCCAGCCTGGTCTACAGAGTGAGTGCCAGGACACGCTCCAAAGACACAGGGAAACTTTGTCTCGAAAAACCAAAAAAAAAAAAAAAAAAGGATTGGTTATAGATCTTTGTTAACATTTAAGAGGGATTGGTTGCAAGTTGTCATTAGTTGTAGTCAAAAAGAGAAGCAGAACAAATGAGTTAAATTCAAATCTCTCTAAAGGAAAAAGGGGATATGATGCAGAAACAATGAGGTAAAAGAGTAGATTGTTGAATTTATTTTAATCCAAAAAAGCAACTATTAATCTCAAAATATTTTACATTGGTATAGATTGTGGTTTATTGACACAAATTTAAAGTTAATTTTGTTATGCTGTATGTATGTTTCTACTCTTGTTTGGGGTACTGTGCCTATGCAAGTCATTTAAAAATGTAATGTATAATTAAGAAATACAGGGTAATACTCATATATAATAATTAAACTTATAGTCACATTAGGTATGTTTTCTAAGTTAAACTGATGTATTTAGGTAGTTAGATGGTCTTCATCACTTTAAAGACCTACAGAATATAGCATTTGAAATATTTTAATAACATAAAGCTTTTCTTTAGAGTGTTTTCTTTTCTTTTCTTTACATGTTTGTGCTTGACACCACCGATTTTCTTAAAAAAGGATGATGGGCATTGAAGAACCCCTGTATGGAGTTTGCTTTCTTTATGGCAAAAGCTAGCCCTTTGGGAAACATATTGCCCTTGCTTCAGTTGCTGACAGTATACTGTCCAAACTGGACCAGCAGAACACACACACAAAAAGCGACTGCCAAAATTTGCCAAGACAAGTTAGAATAGTCCTTCAAAATTCCCTGCTTCTCAGAAATGTGTTGTGATATCTTGCTTATACAAATAAAGTCTGTCTGAAGGTCAGAAAATGGAGCTTGCCACTAGCTAACCATAGGTCTAGTGGTCTGTACAGACAGACAGAAAGTGAGGTAGCTGGGTGGAAACAGGATATAAACAGGATGAAACAGGAACTCACTCTTCTTGTCTGCTGAGATGCTAAGGAGGTAAGGTGTGGTGGTGGCTTGCTCCTTCTCTCTGATCTCTCAGCATTTTCTTCTATATCTGACTCCAGGTTTTTATTACTTAGACCGATTAAGAACTCCATTTACAGAAACATCTGTCAGATATGCTAGGCCTATAGGCCAAAGTTGATGCCTCAACATTACAGAAGAATTTTGGGTGACTGTCCAGGCAGCCAGATGTCTCTGTCAGTAGGTAACATTTCACCCTTCTGGGGTCTTTGATGGAGTTAAAGACTAAATAATTAGGAGTAAAGTTTCCATACTTATGATAAAAAGTAAATTAGGTACAAAACTTTATACTCATGAAGATAAGACAAATAATAGAATATTTTCTCTAAATTTAGCTAATGGAATGGATATTGTAACTGTAATTCTTACTTAATAACTGTTTTTGTTGTATATACTTTTACTATGTTAAAGTTAAAACCTTTTTATGTAGACAAAAAGGGGGAAATACTATGAAATAATCCTTTTTTTTTCCGAGACAGGGTTTCTCTGCGGCTTTGGAGGCTGTCCTGGAACTAGCTCTTGTAGACCAGGCTGGTCTCGAATTCGAAATAATCCTTCTGTACACTGTGAAAATGTGTTGTTGCCATTGCTAATAAAAATACTGATTGGCCAATAGCTTGGCAGGACTTTGGGGGCATAGATAATGCTGGAAAGAAGGTTAGAGTCTGGGGAGGCAAGAACCAGACACATAGAGAAGCAAGATGAATGTGCCGTGTTGAGAGAAGGTACCACCACATGACAGAGGGTAGATAAGAAATATGGGTTCATTGAACCACTGAGCCATCTCTCCAGCCCCTATGGGTTAATTTAAAATGAAAGGGCTAGTTAGTAATACTAAGTCTCTGTGAGATTATTTTGGAGTCATGGGTCCTAAAAAATCTGCTTACAAATGGCACTCAACTTTTAGGAATGTTCATGGTTCAATGCAGAAAACCTAAACATTTAAAATGTCATATGCAGCAGATTTCAGAGAAGTTAAAGGATCACAATTTGTTAAATGCATCTGGAGTACACAAACTTAATTCCTAAATACCTGTGTTATCTATTTCTGGATTACAAATTATCCTTATAGTTATTTAGTAATGAAAAAGACAAACTTTTATCATCTTAATTTATGTGGGCCAAAGAACTAGGACCTAGGTAATTTAGATTGGATGGTTTCACCTCAAGGTCTCTTACAAGACTGAGATGAAGGTGTTGATAACACCGGTGTCATATTAACATTCAACTGCAAGAAGATTCACTTCTTAAATTACAACTGTGTTAGTAGGATTTAGTTTCTAGTAAGCTTTTGAACTAAGAGCCTCATTTCTTCTCTGGCTGTTCACTAGCTGGTTTCTCTATTAAAGCTAATAATTCCTTAAAAATTGGTGCAATAAAGCTCTACTTTTAAAAAGATCTCTTCTTCTGCTCAGTTAACTTGTTTTCTGGAATAATTTACATCAAGCTTACTTGCAGTGATTATACTTGCAACAAGCTCCATACTTTCTAATAAACATGACTGAAGAACTTTACATAATTTTTTCCATTGCTTATGTAAAGGTAACCAAATCCATTTATAAAAGTACAAAATCCTTAGCAAGAAATGTTTAGTATAATGGGTGGTGGTTTCTGTAACTGGTTTCCTTAATATGGAGATATAAAGTCTACAAAGACATACACAGGACAGAAATGTTTGAGAGAAGTAAACAAAAACAAATGTGTTCTAACTAAAGGTAAAGATTTTGAAAAGTGGGATATCCAGAGCACAACGTTCAAGGGAGTAAAGAATATGGCATAGCACAAAATGTGAAAGTGGGAAATCAAATGAGTAGATATTTCTGATTGACTTTTGAGATCTGCATATCTAAGGACAGAATGCTGCGGGATTATAGTCTTAGTTATACATGTGACAGAAGGACTTCACCTGCTCTAAAGCCTCTGTGACAGGGCATGCTGCAACTGCTCTGTACGTTTTGAACTTCTGAAAATGTGCCTGCCTGAAAGATCTATATTTATATTCTGACTTCATTAGCTGAAACAGGTGCTTGGAGCTTTTTATCTTCCTATTTTTAATCTTTTTTTCAAAATATGCATGGCTCTACCATATTTCAAATTATGAGACTTGTGTTTATGGAGATTTGAAAACTAAGATACCTGGAAAAAAGTAAAAATATGTAAATCCAATTATTACCTCATTTCCTAGTATCTCATATACTCCAATTTGGTTTCTAAGTTTAGACTATAAGGAAAATGTCTGAAGGAAGAGTGAATAGAGGCAAGACTGCCACTTTCCTGTTCTTGCAACCAAGACAAGGCCTAGTAATCCTTTCTCTCAACACAACCTCTAAAAAAGGAATGATGGTTAATATAACCATGAGAAGATGCAGCCCCTCCCTGGTAATCAGAGAAAGGCACATTCCATCCATAAGGAGAAGGGGCCACTTTTGACCTCTGAAATTAGCAAAGGCAAAAAATGAGTGACAGGAACTGGTGTGGTGGGGGTGGGAAGTTAGTAGACAGGTCTACTTCTGCAGCACTGCTGATGGGAGGGGAAAGTAGGGACCAGAGTTGGAAGATGACATAATTCTCACGTGATTAGAAGCTGACGTGAGCCCAAGTCGTTATATATTCATGTTTCTTTCTCCTCTGGGTATGAGCTCTTTACTGACCTGAAGAGTAGTGGCCAAGGAGAAGAGAAGGTAAATTCCTTAAATCCCAACAGATTGATGAGCAGAAACCATCAGGGTCTCTTCAAGTGATAGTGGCTGAACGAGACGGGAATCCATCTATACTTATTTCCCCATATGTCTAATTTGGGGATAGATAATTGCACTTTAATGAATTGATCTATTTGCATGCATGTTTGTGAGTGCATGTTCCCCTCTATTTGTTTGGAGGTCAGAGGACAATATGTAGGAGTCGCTTCTTTCCTCCTACCATGTAGATCCCAGAGATTGAACTACGGTTTTCAGGCTAAGCAACAAGTGCCTTTACTCACTGAGCCATCTTGCTGGCTCAATAACTGTGTATTTGGAAAAGAACTGGGGAACATAGGGAATGCTTGAGAGACAGCTAGTGATTTATTGATAACTGAGAAACAATAGGCTTCTCTTGTCCTGGAAAACTCTGTCCTCTTCTTTGTCTTTCCCCAATTCCTTGGAGAACACGGTAGCACTGAAATGTGGTAATGGATGGAGAAAGACTGAATTCATGAGATGGAGACAATAAAAATTGAGATAATTTGAAATAGTTCACCTGATTTAATGCTAACCTGCAATGGTGGGGTCAAAATGGGTAATGGGAGATGCCTACTCTTACAAGGGTCAAGCCTGAGAGTGAGGAGTAAGGAACAGGCACAAAAATTCTAGAGGACAGGAAAAGAACCAGGCAGTGGATTACTTGAAAGTAATGATGAAAGTCCCAGATTCCAGATAATGATAACATGTGTCTGATATCAAGTCCTGGTCCCTTGTTTCTGTTTGTAGGTTCAGGAATCTGTGTTCACAGATACCACCCGGTGGAAAAAGCGAGTGAGAAACCTTCCTGCATTTGTACAGTGTGGTGTGTGGGAGTCACTTAGACTGGGATTCTTAGGGTGGGAGTTGCGAAAGGACAATACTGGGTAAATTTTGCAGCTTCACTGGCCATTCAGTTTATCTATTGGCAAAAGGGTGGGTTCAGGGTTGAGGGGCCGGAAGAGGAAAACTTAAGATTGGACAGGAAGCTGAAGAAGAAGCTGAGACATTTTCAGTTTCTAAAGGCTGGAACCGTGGGTGGGCTAGTCAGGTGTAGGGAAATGGCCTAATACCTTGCTTCAAAAGAGAAACCAATTCAAAAGTAAGAAAGTAATCGTCTCTGCATTTTCTCCCTGGAGTTAAGCAGGAAACAACAACATTATGCAAAAGTCCAGCAACGAAAAAGAAGGAAAGCCCCAGTGCAGAGAGCCAAAGATGGACGACGAACATCCTTATAGAGCATTGGAAGGCCAGAGAATGGAAGGGAATTTCAGACAGCGGCTGCTTCAGTCTCTTGAAGAATTTAAAGAAGACATAGACTACAGGCATTTTAAAGGCGAAGAAATGACAGGAGAGGAAGACGAGATGGAAAGGTGTTTGGAAGAAATAAGAAGTTTGAGAAAAAAATTTAGGGCTCTGCATTCTAACCATACCCATTCTCGGGACCGTCCCTTTTAATGCAGTGGCCTCAGAAATTATTTTCTGCTATTAATACTTCTACTGCTTTCTGTTTCCATTTTTCTTTATAAATATGTGCTATCATTTTGCTTCACTCTTTCACTATTGGTTACTGTAATAGATAAATTTCATGCTGTACACACCTCATCTTTCAATTCTACGCCACTGATTTAATACGTTTTGTTCATTTACATGAGAGGATAATCATCAGGTAGTTCATTGTAAACCAAAAATTGCACGCTACAAAGCAATATGTATGTGTCCATTTATGTATGCTATCATTCAAAGTCTTATTCTATGCCAAAGAAGTGAATCTGTATTTTCTTTCTTCTTATTTTCCACAAAATAATATATATGTATCTGTATTATTAATTTTGTAACTCAAAATGAAAAACAGTTAGACTTAAATGAAAGAGGTTTATCAGCCACGTTTGGAAAGCAGTGAACAGTAAACTTTTAATGGTAGAAATATAAAAAAGGGATGATAATTGCAAATTACCTTTGGATTTCTTAGCCAGAGGAATAAACCTTATCATTACAAAATACATATGCTTAAGACTTGATCATTTCATGGGGAAAGTATTTGCCTCACAGGAATTTTTGTCCCACAGACCTGCTGTGGGACACTAGCTCTAGGCATACAAAAACTTAGCTTGTATACAGCCATCCATTTAAGGGAGGACATGGCGTGTTTCAATATATGCTCAAGAACAAGGCCAGAAGGCAGAGGTGGTGCCTTCCATGACAGCCCTCAGCTTTTGAACATCACCTTTGTCTCCACCACATCCGGCCTTGGTCTTTTGGTCTCTGATAGTCCCACAACAGCTGATGCACTGGAGTCCTTATGTACCAAATCTTCACTGAATTTCCAAAGGATTGATCTCCCACTGTCTTAAATCACTGCTTACTAGCGGCATTTAAAACAGGTGGCACTGCTGAAACGTTGCCAGTTCTACACTGTCCTGGGACACATTTTTGTCCTGGATACACATTGAGAAGTAGAATCATTTGACCATATATTAATTCTGTTTAGTTATTACAAGAATTTCTAATCTGCTTTTCATATGTGGACATTACCAATGCATAAGTTTTTTATTTTCCTGTGTCCTTGATAACTTTTTTATTGCATATTTATGTGTGCTTGTACAGTTCTGAAGTTGATGAATGTCTTCCATGATCCCCTTCCATTTTATTTACTGAGGCAGGGTCTCTTGGTAAAGCTTACTCACCAATTTCAGGTACTGTATGTAGTCAGCCAGCCCTAGGATCCTGTGTCTGAATTCCAAGTACTAGGAATACAGGCAGGTGCTACACCTGCCAGGCTTTTATGTGGGCTCTGAGGATCTGAACCATGGTCCTCTCACTTTTACACCAAGCTTGATTATCCACTGAGCCATCTCCCAGACCAACATGTCTCATGGCCTAAATGTTTTTTATTGCAGTCATCCTAGTAGAAATGAAGTTGTCTCTTTGTGTGGTTTTCTTCTGGCTTCTCTTTTTTCATTACTCCCATCTTTTATTATATTTATTAAAGAAATTAATGAAAATATGTGAATGTAGCAGCCTACTTTAAGTTAGCAGCTGGAAATTGGATGCTACAAAACCTTTTCTCAGGACAGTAATGGACATTTAACTTGCCCAAAAGCAAGAACAATTGAACATTTTATTGCCCGTTAAACATAAAAATGGGTTATATTAATTTTCCTCATAGCTGGAGAGTTCAAGGAACAATAGTTTTGTTCTATCCACATAATGTGTTGACTGACATGAAAAACAACTGCCAACATCCCTACACTGATGTCTCTCGCACTGGAGCCCAGCTATTTTGAGCGTTATGTGGAATGCAAGGGGATACGGTTAATAATGAACAAGTTTTACTTTGTAGTAAAGAATTGCATGTCGTTAATGTTAAACACAGCCCCCCCCAGTTGAAATAATGCAGAACTCCAATATATAAAGCAAATTTTAGGCAGCCGTATTGGCAGTGGTGACTGACATGTGTTCTCTCCACAGACACATATCCTGGGAATGCATGGCTCCTTCCCTCTCTGTGAACACTAGGGAAATGCTTGGCAAACCATGCCTCACTCCATTTGGATCACAATTCAAAGACTGGGCATCCTTCCAGGGACATAAAAAGGTATGTAAGGGAGTCTAAGAGTCATCCACGTGACCACCAACCTTCCTTGCTCTCTTTTTAGATAATTAATAGGCAGAGGGAGAATGACTGGAATTTCATGAATTGATTTCTAGCTCTTTAAATCTAGGCTGTTTTTTTCTTTTTGGATTTTTTTAGTAGCCACAAATTAATCCTTCTGATTTTGTTAGTGTAGCTCTCAAACTCGGTGTTACTTTCACTTTTAGAACACAGTAAACAGCAATATATTTTCCCAAACAGCAAGAAAGTGCAGGTATTGTTTTGGCCCATAATCTGATACTCTGGTTCTTTGTCTTTTCTATATTATCTTTCTAGTCAAAGAAGACTTTGCTCAGTACTGGGACCAGAGCTCTTCATCCATGAAATGTAGCTTGCCAACGATGCATCTTTGTAGGTCACCACAGTTGAGTCACACAGAATCTAAAAACTGTAGCGGTCATCATGGTTCATGGCATCTATGTATGCCACAGCTTACAGTGGGTTGTCATGTGCATTTTAGATAAAATGCTTACATTTCTCTGGTGTCTACAAATACTACAAAAAGTTTAGCCTGATATTTAGCCACGGGACCCTGCACTCCACATGCATGATGACCTCATGCTGAACAGCAAAAGCTCATACTTTATTGTCATCTTTTGAAATGTTTTCATTCTTAGATTTTAAAAATTCTCTCTATGGTGTCTAAAATGTTTAGTACTTTAGGAGCACACCTTTAATCCCAGCACCTGGGGGGCAGGGGCAGGCAGAATTCTGTGAGTTTGAGGCCAGTCTGGTCTACAGAGTGAGTTCCAGGACAGCCAGAGCTCCAAAGTGAAACCCTGTCTCAAAAAAGAAGTCAAGATGCCAACATGTTTTGATTAACAACCAGGACACAAAGAACCACTCAGGAGCAGTAACACCAAATCTGACAGATACATTTACAAAAGCAGAAGAATTAAATTGCTGCTACTAAGAATGTAGAAAAGTCTAGCCATCCATGTGGTACTGACTCTGAAGGCATAGAAAACCCATGATGGTGGGGTCTTCAGAGCCTTTCAACACAGTTTAAGAGAGCCAGTGACACCAAGAACTATGTAGCAATATTGATGTACTTGTAGGGTGGCCCTGAAACATTACTGATGAAGATTTGAAGGTGACTCAATGGAGAGATCCTAGAATGTTACAGATGGTAGAGGCAGTGAGATATTCATTGAGGAAAGCTGAAGACACAGTGAAAAGCTTGCCAAGACAGAGGATATATTTCTACAAGCAGTAGAAGCAGACAGGCGGGGCTACCCAAGCCCCCTGGAGATCCATTATGGGTCCTAAATGTTGGCCATGGAGTTACAAGATTTGATGCTTGTCTTGCTGCATTTTAGTCTTTCTTTGCTTGGATCATTCCTTGTTATGATTATATTTTTCCCTTTTGTATTTAATGATTACATTTGGTGCCACTATGTGTTAGAACTAAGCAATTTTATTTTTTTCTGTCTCTCTTTCTTTTGGTGTTATAGGAGTCCACTGTTAAGAGGTTTCCTTGAGCTTCAGAAGAATTCAGACTTTTTAAAATGTTGACATTGTTGAAGACTATGGAAACTTTTGAAGTTGGATTGGTCATATTTTTTGCAGTGTAAGGTAAGATTATGGGACTGAGAGACAGAAGGTTCCAGTTTATAATAGATGGACTTGTGAGTCATGTTGACAAGGGGTTGACTTGTGATCTTTAGAATTCTCAACCTGACAGGATCTAGAACCATATGGGAGACAAGTCTCCAGGCGCACCTGCAAGGATTGTTTAAATTATGTTAGCCTCTGGGCATGCCTAGGAGGAACTGTCTTGATTGGGTTAACTGAGATGTGAAGACCCACTCTGAAGAAAGGCCATACCATTACCTGGGCTTAGATCCTGAACTGTATGAATATGGAAGCTACCTGAGCACAGAACTCTACTTCCTGATTGTGGATATAATGGTTATATATAAGCTCCTGCCACCATGAAGGACTACACCCTGGAACTGTTAACAGAAATCACCCCTCTCTCCCTTTCTCCTTCCCTCCTTCCCTCCGTCCCTCCCTACATACCTCCCTCCCTCCCTACATACCTACCTCCCTCCTTCCCTTCCTTCCTATGTTCTTTCCTTATTTCTTTCTTAAGTTGATTTCGTCAGGGTATTTTATCATAACAGAGATAATAATTAATATATATGATAATCCTGCTTATGTTTTCTAATAACTACAAGGTAAGTGGTTCTCAACCCTTTGGTGGTCAAATATCTGAGACCCTGCATATCAGATATTTACATTAAATTTCATAACAGTAGCAAAATTACAGTTATGAAGTAGCAACAAAAATAATTTTGTGCTTTTGTTAGCAAATGATACTGAACAAGTTGTTCATATGATTATGGCCTCTATTTATATCTTTTTTGTAGAATCAAGTTCTATCATTTTAAATGTGAAAGATTTATTTTCCTTTCTCTGAGTTGCTGAAGTTGTTTATATATTGTGGGTATTTATCATTTGAATGTGGTTAGAGAAAATACTTTGTATAGTATTAATCTGTTTAAAATGTATTGAGAATTGTAACAATAAAATTATAATTTTAGGGAATTTCCCATGAGCACTTAAGAAGAATGTGTATTCTACTGTTGTTTTGCTATACTTACTCTATATATCTTTTATATTCAATTGACAGTGCTATTCAACTCTCTTTTTCTTATTTACCTTCAGTTTGGATCATCTACTTATTACTGAAAGCAGAGTGTCAAGTTTACACTATTGTTCTACCTTAAAGACAATCATCTTTGATTGTTGTTTGGTTGTATTATTATATCTTTTTGATAAATTGAACATTTTAATCAAAATATAGTGGCCTTCTTTGTTTCCTGTATGATTAAAAAAAACTTGAAATCTGGGAGGTAGTGAAATTGCCTTATCTCTTCCATCCCCTTTTCTCCTCTCAAGGGTCATGTTTTAGTTTTCTGGCCTCTAAACTAACATTCATTCTCATATTGATATAAGTATGAAAATTATAAGCTAAGTCTGCAGCGTTTCTTAGTGTAATATGCTCCAGTTCTATTTTCCTGAAAAGTTCATAATTTCACTTTTTCTTTGTTGCTGAGTAAAATTGCATTTTATATAGGTGCCACATTTTTCTAATGCACAAATGTGGACATATTTTTGTTTTCTAAATCAAGCAAGAAATAAAAAGTGGAGTTACAAACCTAATATAAGCCAGGCGTTGGTGGCTCACACCTTTAATCTCAGCACTCGGGAGACAGAGGCAGGCAGATCTCTGTGAATTCAAGACCAGCTTGGTCTACAGAGCGAGTTTCAGGACATCCTCCAAAGCCACAGAGAAACCCTGTCTTGAAAAACCAAAAAAAGAAAAAAAAACAATATAAATAT